AGGAAGAGAATCGCGTCACTGAAGGAGCGGGCAGCGTCCTAGTCCGCACGCTCGTGGGTGTGTGAGGCATCTCCTCGCTCCGTTCCGTGGTTCACCAGCCTTGGGAGGCCCCTGCAGCCATGGGGTGTGCAGTCGGGTGTGCGGTCAGGCGTGCAGTCGGGCGGTGCCGTCGGGGCGTGCCGTTGGGCGTGCTTTCGGGCCATGCCGTCGGGTGTGCCGTCGGGCCTGCCCTTGGGTGGTGCCGTCGGGCGGTGCTGTCGCAGTCAGAGCCATCCCGCTGCGGCTCCCACGGTGCTCCGCTCAGCCTGTCAGGCACATCTTCGGCCAAGGTGATGAGCCGTTGCCTTTGAAGCTGGCCTGGCATGACAGCAGAGGTCAGTGGTTCCCTGTGACTCGCTGCTTCCGCACAGCCCACCTGTCCTCCTGCTGGGCCAGCACAGGCGTCCACACGCCAGGGAGCCACCTGTGCCTCCTAAGGTGCCATGTGACGCTTCCAGGGCTGCCGTGGCCGGCACTGCCCACCTCTCCCGGGGGACGTCAGGGTTCATGACTGGGAACGAGCCGCTCCTGGCAGGAAGGGGTTGCACTTGCCACCATGACGGTCATCCTCGGACCCCCGACCGTCTCCCAGCTGGCTGGCTCCCAGCCTGGCACGGGCACCACTTCCCCATCTCCAGCTCAGGGCCATGATTGCCCAGGGCTCGGGGATAGAGCCGAGTGGAGGGCTGGCGCCACCCCCCTCTGCATGCCTGTCCCTTTCAGGACGCCGATGCAGGGGCCCGTGCTGCGCAGCTCAGGCAGTCTCAGGCTGGAGCTCTTCTGGGTTTCCACCCTCGGCAGCTTCCCCTGGGCCCAATACGGGCCGGGAGGGTGAGGAGGGCGGGAGAGGGAGGGCAGCAGAGGGGTGGGCCGGGAGGGAGAGGAGGACCCTGAGGCCGTGCCAAGGTGTGCTGGGGAGGAGGAGAATGGGGAGACGGGAAGGACAGCAGAGCACCTGGGGCTGTGCTAAGGTGTGCCGGCCACTGATGGGCGGTGGGGAAGGGAGAGGGAAGTCCCCCAGCTGACTTCCCCTGTGGGGCGCAGTGCTCTGAGGTGTGAGTTCCTCACTCCCTGAGGACAGCCAGTACCTGGCAGGCTCCTGGCTTAATGTGTAGCTGGAATACTGGAGAAGCCGGTCCACTGAAACTCTGCCTGCCTGCTAACCTATTTCCCAAATGACTGATCCAGCCTCACTGCTCTGCCAGCTGCTCACACTGCACAGGCTGGCTGGGCTCTGCCATCCCGGGCAGCGCTCAGGGCTCCAGGTGTGCGGTGACACTCCGGTGGAGCAGCAGGCTCCTCTGAGCCTCCACGCTGGCACTGGCGGAGGGGCATCAGCAACCCCATGTTTGCATTCTAGGACGTGGAGACACCCTCGGGGACGGTGACGCTGAGGAGGGAGGAATGGAGTCGAGGGTGGGAGGGAAGGAGCTGGAGCATGTTTTCCTGCAGGCCTCTGAGCCTCCGCCTGCCCCGGTGTTCACCATCGGACTCCATGATCACTTAGTGGGACAGACTTGGCAGCTCTGAGCCTCCGCCTGCCCCGGTGTTCACCATCGGACTCCATGATCACTTAGTGGGACAGACTTGGCCGCTCTGAGCTTTGGCTTTTCGGGGAATCCGTCTCAGCGGCTCAGTCACTTCTGCTAGTCGGAGCTGCCGAGCTCCCCTGGCAGCACCCGTGAGCGGCGGCAGGAGCGGGGCCTTCATGGAGGGAGCTGTATGCACGCCCTACCCAAAAATGGGGTCTGGCGGAGGAGGGGTCTCAGTGGACGGCAGCGGGATTCCCTTTGCTTGGAAGAGTGGAAGAAGAGGCAGGGCCCGGGAGCCGGCGTGGCCTGATTTGTGTGAAGTCGTTCTGCTTTCAGTGCTGAGAGAGAAACCCCATGCAAACCGAGAGGCTGGCCACCCCAGGCTGACTCCAGAGCTCGTGGAAAGAGAAGGGAAAGGCGGGCGGTGGTGGCGAGGACATGAAGGTCCTGATCTCAGGACGGCCTTCCCGTAGCTGCCGCCCGGCCAGCGGGGCAGTGCACAGGCGCTGCGAGGGGTGACTGGTGCGTGGACCTGCGTGGGCTCGCCAAGCCCCGGCTCTGGGGTGGCCGGGGGGCCAGCGTCCGGCTCGTGTGACCTGCACGCACTCACTTTTCTAAATGTGCTTTTCTCTCTCTCAGGGAGGCAGGACACAGTGTGTGAGAGAAGTCTGCCCCATCCTCTCCTGTCCCCAGCATCTCAGCCACACAGCCCCAGGACAGTGCTGCCCCAGATGTCTGGGTGAGTGACACCTGTCAGGTCAGGGAGGAGTGCAGTTGCCCCGGGCTTCCGTGGGCAGGGTCAGCCCACACCGTGGCTCCTGGTGAGAGGCACGCCTCCTCCCACGTCCACGGGCAGCAGGTGCTCGAGATCCGGCTCCCACCTGGGCTCCGTGGAGGGGTCTTTCCTCCTGTCTAGAGGGCTGGGCGATGCCCTTGTGAGAACAGTGGTGAAGAGGCCATCTTTCCTGGGCCCGTGACATCAGGAGGAATGTATTTTAAAGGCATCCAAAGCACACACGGAGAATATAGGCCAGTGCTGCTTTTTCCTTTCCCCTCTTCCTTCTTTTCTTTTCTTTTCCTTTTTTTTTTCTTTTCTTTTCTCTTCTTTTCTTTTCTCTTCTTTTCTTTTCTTTTCTTTCCTTTCCTTTCCTTTCTCTTCTCTTCTCTTCTCTTCTCTTCTCTTCTCTTCTCTTTCTCTTTCTCTTTCTCTTTCTCTTTCTCTTCTCTTCTCTTTCTTTTTCTTTTTCTTTTTCTTTTTCTTTTTCTTTTTCTTTTTCTTTTTCTTTTTCTTTTTTTAGGTTTAAGCCATAGGGCACATGCACTCACCAGAGAGGGGAAGGAAGTGAGAAATCTCCATGTTACTCTCAGATATTCCAGCACTCCCACACACCCAGCATGATGTTCAAGCCCCAGGTTTGGAGCTCAAACCACAGTCAGCCACACGGGACCCCCGCGCCTTAACCAGCACTGCCCCGCCGGCGCCTAGCCCTGGTGCTGCTGGAGGCAGGAGGATGACGTGCCGGGACTCTAGAGGTGTGGGAGGACGAGGAGCCACAGCGCCTGGCGAGAGAAGGTCTGCGTGTTTACTGCGGACCGGGCCGGCCAGTGCCCGTGCTCTCTCACGCAGTCCCCGACGCTGTGCGGTTCGGGGCAGGCACAGAGACCCTCTGCAGTGCAGGTGCCCCCAGCTCTGCTGTGCCAGGGGCCCTTCCAGCAGGCAGCTCGCCGCTGACGGAGCCTGTGTCCCACACGACCCAGTACTTGCTGCGTTCAGCTGCCCTGGGGACACGAGGGTGGCGTGTGTGTTGCCCCTGAGTGGGGACAGGGCTGACATGTGGAGTCTCTGAGGCATGTGATCCCCCGGTGTTTGTTCACCACTGCGACCTCAGCCTTGACGATCCCTGGGCCCTTGAGCTGGTCGGGTCAGACTTCGCCAGCCCGAGTGAGAGCTGGGCCCGTGCCTGTGCACCAGGGCGGCTGCAGGCCAGGCTCTCCGGGGCCCACGTGGCGGACGCTTGCCCTGAGCACCTTTGCCTGTGTGTCTCTGCTCGGTTCCACTCTGATGTAACGTCACTCTGCCCATCAGAGACCCTGTCCTCCAGTCTGCCCACGTGCTCTGGTGTCACCAGCTGCAGTCCGTGTGGCAGATCTGGAGCTGCAGAGGGCGGCTGTTCTGCAGGGGAGCAGAGTGCTTCGCCACGCCCCTGTCTTTACTCTTCAGAAGTTTATTGACTTCTCCTGTGAGTGAGGGGGTGCGAGAGAGAGCCAGGCATCCTCAGAAGGGCCTCCCTGCCGTGACCCACCGGCTGTCCAGCCTGCCCGGAACACAGGCACCCGTTCTCCCACGAGCACAGGGAGAGTGAGCTGCCGGGCGTGCGGCCGCCTGCGGGCCCCCGAGCGCTGTCCTTCTTTAAGGGCTTAGTGACTTTGCCTTCGGGAGGAGTTCCCTGATTGCCTCCTCCGTGTGGGCCCCAGCCACCCCAGACTGCCCTGCCCTCTCCTCGAACCCTCCCTCCTCCTCTCAGCCCGCTTTCCCAGCCCAGAGCGTCCTGTCCGGCTGTCTCTCCCCCAGAGTACCCAGCCCGGCCCTGGGTCACCTGTGGCCACACATCCACACGGACGAGCCCAGGCGTGTTGGTGCACAGAGGCCACTCTCCTCCTCGAGGGGCTCCACCGCTGGCTACGTCTGCCATGCATGCCCTTCCTGCAGTGTGCGTGGGCACACACTCATACACACACACGCACGCACACACACACATACATACACACACATACACACATGCACACACACGCACACACACTCATACACACATACATGCACACTCATACACAGTCATACACACATACTCACACACATACACACACTCCCACTCATATGCACACACTCACATACATACACTCATACATACACTCATACACACACATACACACACTCATACACACGCACACACTCATACGCACAAACTCACATACATACACATGCACACACACTCATACACACATACATGCACACTCATACACAGTCATACACACATACTCACACACATACACACACTCCCACTCATATGCACACACTCACATACATACATACATACATACAAACACATGCACACACACTCATACGCACACACTCACATACATACATACACACACTCATATACACACGCACACACACTCATACACACATACATACACACACTCATACACACACTCTCACTCATATGCACATATTCAAATACATACACACACTCATACACACATACATACACACTCATACACACTCATACACACATACGTACACACATACATACACACACTCATACACACTCACGTCCACACACATACACTCACCCTTACACTCACACATCCACACACACGTACACATGTACACATGTACAAATTCACACATACACACACATACACACATGCACACCCACACCCTCCACAGCCCCACACCCCCACGTACACATACACACACACCCATATCACACACACATCTCCACCCACCCACCCACACTCACATCCCCCACATACACCCACAACCCCCCACATACCAACACACGCATACCCACACACACCTGCCCCTGCACACACATACACACCCTCAAGATCTCCACACACACACACCACATCCACCCCTCCCATGCTCACACACATTTTCACATACTCTCATACCCACACACACTCACTAAGTACATGTGAAATGACCAGAACAGAGTCATGTGGTCACGCCTGATCAGGAACTCACACGTGCACTTCCTGCGCTGCCGACACATGTGTGGGCCTGGGATAGAACTGCAGTCACAGGAGCAGGGCAGAACCCGCCCAGCTGTAGGTCAGGAGGGCGGCCATGCTGGGCAGCGAGGCCGGGGCGGTGCAGGGGCAGCTGTGGGAGGGTGCGCTCGGCGGTGGGAAGAGGCTGTGCGTGCACAGTGCTCCGTGTGCAGGTCCCATGCCTCCGCCAGAACACACGGAGCTCCTGTAGGGAAGGGAGGGAAGGACCGTTGGTCATCACCGCTGAAATAATACCCCACTGAGGCAGAGCATGTGAATGCTCCACTGCCAGCCACAGAGGGCCCGGTAGGCAGTGGGTACACCACGACCCTCCCCATCTCTCCATCCTGCAGGATCTGGGGATGCGCCGGGTGCTCAGTGCAGAGATTCGAGCTGGGTGGGCCGTGCGGGATCCGCCCCCTCAACCCCGTGCTGTAGGGCTGGCCCTGTTTTCCTTTCTCTGTCTTAGAGCATCTGGCTCACCAGAGAGAGATGGGAAGGAGGGGAGTGGGAACTTCGCTGCGGGGGTGGCTTTACTTCCGCCCTGCTCCATCTCCCCCCAGGGTTGGGGCGTGTACACATACGCGCCTGGCGTGAGGTTTCAGGCCGCAGGGTCCAGGGCTCAGGCCACGGCTGGCTATGTGGGAATCCTGTGCCTCACCATGCCACCTGCTGGCCCCTCTATTTTAAATTCTTAAAGAACAAAAATGTACCTCTGGTGAATCGATGGAGAGAGAGCAGTGTACAAAACAGAGGAAAAGGAGTTCACCTTTATTTTGACAATAAATGCAAAACCCCCGAAACTATCTAGTGACGTCTCATGTTGTACAGTTCCAGAGCTCAGGGTGGCTTGGCGGAAGTGATTCCAGCCAGATGGGTCAGCTCCGTGTGGTGGGGCCACACCCGGGTCCTCGCAGCTCCGACGGAGGGCGCCCTAGAAGAGGAGCTGGGGAGGGCATCTACGCGGTTCCCAGGAGCGCTCCAGCTGGCCTCGTCCCGGCAGTTCAGGGGCTCAGCACAGAAGCCTGCCTGGGCGCGTGGGGGTGCTGAGCGTCATGCTAGACGTGCCGGCTTGTTTGCTCACGCACCGTGACGTGGATCGCAGACAGGGTGACGCCGACTTGTGTAGGTGAAGTCAGTGACGCCCAGAGAAGGCATCTCCACGGTCCAGGCGCGAGGGAGCCCATGCATGGGCCCCGAACAGTGATTGGCTGCGGATCAGGATGCACGTTTGCTCCTGGTGATCCAGCTGTGTCTACACTGCCCCGGCCTTGAGGCTGATGCTGGCAGGAAAATAGTGTTTTTTCATGACTCCTATTGACACAGCTCTGACCGCTAATTCTGAGCACTGCGTCTGGTGTATGTTCATCAGCGTGTTAGCAACCCCGTGGGGTTGTATGCGCACACGCCTAGCGTGATGTTTCAAGCTGCAGGGTCTGCTGATACGCCGAGTGCATTACTCTTCACATGGGTGAAGGGGGTGTGAGCGTTAGTCGGTCAGTGGACGTGGGTCCCTGTCCTTAGTCCTGAATTACAGTAGCATTGCAGAGGCGTCATGTGCTGTCGGGGGCAGCGAGTCGGACGCTGAGTGAGAGGAGGCTCCACTGTGTGCGCCCTCAGGGCTCTGGCCCTCGTAGCTGCCAGCCCAGCCCTCACACCAGGGAAAGCCGGGGCGGCCTGCCGAGGAGCTATGCGTGTAGGCTGGCTTCTGATCTCAGGTGCCGTTGGGGGTGGCTCATCCTCCCTGTGACCTGAGACGCATTCTCACTCTGTCCTGCATGGCTGTCATACACGGCACCATAAACCGGGCAGCTGTGGGACGGTGGGAAGTGGCTTCCGGCAGTTCTGGATGCCGGGCGGTCCCCGGGATAGGGCCTTGTCACTTGCGCTCACCGTGCCGGGCTGGGGCTCCCTTGGGCCTCCCTTGAAGGGCCCTAACCCAGTCCGTGAGGGCCTGCCCTCTAGCCGAGCGCCTCTCACAGACCCAGCTCTGGGGCCGTCGTGGTCATGGCTGTTTCCACGTGCGCTCGGCAGGGAGACACGTTCCCGCCCTCACAGACGCCATCTCGTTGGTGCTTTTTGCTCACTCTCTCCTTCCTGGGATGGCTCGGCCCCGCCTCCAGCAGACCTCGCTGTCGTTCCCTCTGGAGGGCTCCGCTTGCTCTTCGGGTGCCCTCCGGCAAGTCTGCCCCGTCCGCCTGCCCCTGCGGTTCCCACGCTGGCTCTCTCTAGAACTTGCCGTGCCACGCCCTGGGCGGCCTGTGGGTTAGTCTCCTGGAGGCCGCAAGCCCCGTCGGGTTTCCATCTTTGTGGGCTCTTTACAGACACATTCTAGGCTGTTCTGTGGCTGTTGACCGCAGGTTCTGACGTTGAGACGGTTACAGATATGGAGGCCGACTGGCTCGTGGCCTGGAGGTCCAGGGTCCGAGGGCTCGTGTGCTGGGGTCACAGTCCCAAGGCACCTCATCTCGAGGGTAGGCGGAGCAGACTCTGTCTGTGTCCAGGTCTCTGGATGTCCTGCGACCTGAGGTAGACACCGCCAGGACTCAGCCATGGGACTCCACCCCATCGGCCTTACTCCTCATCCCCCAGAGTCCTCGCCTGTGACCCCAGAGCTGATGAAGTTTCCAGCCTTTCCACCCTGTCACAACCGAATCACAGCACGTGAGACCCGGGGCGGTCACGCCGTGGCAGCATGGCAGCAGGACTCGCTGTGGGGTCACTGTGCGCTGACTGCTCGATGACCCGACGTTCGGGCACACGCGGCAGGCCTGGTCGCAGGCACTGCAGTGCTGCGGCGTGTCACCGATGGCAGCGGATGACCACTTTGCCGTGTTCACGCTGCGCTGTTGCTTCCCTGCAGGCCAGAGGAAGGTGTTCGACCTGCCTTCCGGGAGCTGCCTCTTCCGCAGCGACGTCTACGACAACGGGTCCTTGTTCCTCTACGACAACTGCACGGCGTGCACCTGCAGGGTGAGGCGAGGCGGGCGGTGTCCTGGGTGACAGGCTTGGGCGCTCCTGGGCGTGCCTCCTCCCTGAGGCCATTCACGAGCCAGCCGCCCCTGCGGTCTGAGCGTTTGTAGGGACGACCCCGTCGCAGCGGCTGCGCCGTCCGGGCCTAGTGACCGGTGGGTTCTGTTACGTACCGGGCATTGGCTTTAACCACAGAGAGAAGCCAGGTGCGGGTTTGCTGCTGGGCCCGGGCTGCCCTGGCAGGCTGGGAGAGCGTGTCCCTCTGCCCGCTGTCCCCTGCCTTCCTTGGCGTTGGTCACTGGCAGGACACACAGACGTGTAGTTAGTGCCGAGGATACACGCAGCCCCGCGGATCTGGGTGGACACGTCTCATGGCTGTCGGCTGCATGGGCGTGGTAATCTGCTTTGAAAACCGAGTCAGCGTCACTGTGCAGAGCGTCGGGTGACACGCTGGGCGTCACGGAGCAGGTGACACGTTTGTGCCCAGAGCTCTTTTGTTTTCAGGACCCCAAGGGCCAGAGAGGGGGAGGGGGAGCCTCGCTGGACACCAGCTATGAGGGTACAGCAGGACAGAGGCCGGGCTCCTGTCACCTGAGGAGCGCACCGCCGGGCAGCTGGTGTCTACACTACTGCCTGTGCCCACACCGAACCCCCTGCAGTTCCTGGCCTGGGCATATCCCCCGCGGCCTGGCTCCTCCCAGCGCTCTGAGCGACCTAGGCTGAACGTAGCCACTCCTTCGGTTTTGTGAAAGAAACGTCTTCCTCACGGCAGAGCGCGTGAAGGTGTGGGCGCGAGTGGGAGCAAAGCAGCTTCGCGGCCCCTCTCAGTGCCACCCCTGCCCGGCCCTGCAGCCCGCCCGAGGCCCAGCAGGCTGACCTTGCCCTCCTCCTGTCGTCCACGTGGTAGCCAGCGCCGTGGCCCCGTTTGCCGCCAGGATGGGCCCTTCCCTTTCCTTTTGTAAATGCATCTTCTTTCCCATGAGAGAAGGCGGGAGAGAAAGATGGCCACCCTGGCTTTAGGTACCACGGGGAGCCCGCCTCAGTCTCCAGCCAGCCGTGAGCACAGGTGCCCAGCAGGCGTGCCCATGTGAGCAGGTCCACCCGGGCCCTAAACCACAGGCCTGCCTGGGCCCCCCATTGTGCAGTGGCTCCCTGCTGCCTTGTGTTGCAGCGGGGCTGCTGTGTGCTCCACGCTGGCCTCCAGCTCAGGACTCCCCACTCGGACGCCCTCTGGGGAGTGGGAAACTTGCTGCACGTGGGGCCCTCCCAGGCCTCCCGGTGGCAGCCAGGCCTGATGCACGGAGGAGGGCTGGCTGGCCAGAGATTCGCAGGCAGCCTGTTGGGGGCCGAGGGTGACATTACACTTTCCTCTAAGAGGCCCCTCAGGCGTGAACTCACAGTCCTTGGGAGCCGGGCAGCCACCCTTGGTGGCCAGCGCTGTCCCACCTGCCCTGGGTGTCCCTGCCCACACCACCCAGTGGCCTCGCCCTTCCCACAGCGGGTTTGTGAGTTCTGCGGTGTGGCTCGCACCTGCAGTGCTACCCTATGACGTGTGACTTTGAAGTCCCCCAGTCCAGCCCACTCCCCAGGCTGCCCGGCCAGGCCGTAGTCCCCTTTGCTGCCACCTCTGCCCTCTGGCCAGCCCTGCTGATCTCGTGACCCACACTGCAGTTTAACGCTTAGTGTCACTTCAGTCATTGCTTCTGTGCGTGAGAGAGACAGCGCGAGAGCCACCTTACCAGGGCCATGGCGCTGCAGCCCACCCTCGCCCCGCTGGCCCGGCACTCAGGGAGGTCCCCTGACACGAACTGGGACCTTCCCTTGCGGGCAAGCCTCCAGAGCCTCGCGCCCCCCCGCCAGCCCTGATCCTTGCTCCCTGGCTGTCCCTCCTCCTGCTCCTGAGCCTCCAGGGGACGGTGCCTGCGCATCACCGCCGGGTGCTCACTGCCTGCCCAGTGCCGGGCTGGGGCTGACCGGGCCCGGGAAGCTGCAGTTGGAAGCTGGGAGGTCCGCGGGCTAGCTGCAGGCCTAGCCAGGCCACACCACTACTACAGAGTCCGGAACCAGGTCTCCGTGGGGATTGTTGGTCCCGTCCCTTGCAGCTCACAGAGCCCGCGGGAGATGTGTCACCTCGAGGCTGTGTGTTAGCCGTTACGTCCTACTTCGGTTAAAGATAGCTGCCTTACGCCAGCCGCCCAGAGGTGGCAGAAAGCCGTGGGCGAGACCCGGAGGGCACTGCTCAGGGTATGTGGCGAGGAGGGCTCTGGACCCGCTGAGCAGATGCTCGGGCCTCTCAGCTGTGAGAGTGTGAGGCCGGGCCGGGGCCTGGAGGCCGTGAGCCCACAGCGCCCACACTCTCTGGTCTAGACACTTAGTCAACAGGTACCTGTGAAGTGAATGAACCATGGCCACAGATCGAGATCCAGTCCCTACTCCTGTATGTGAAGGCAGATTGTTGTGGGCCGTCCACAGAGGCCAGGTGGGGTGTTCAGGGAGACGGAGATGAAGATGGTTTTCAGCTCCTACTCTGCCTTTGCCCCCAGGACTCCACCGTGGTCTGTAAGAAGAAATGCGTCCACACTGGCGGCTGTGACAGCCGTGACGAGGGCTGCTGTGAAGAGTGCCTGCAGCGCCTCCCCTCGGAGCACGTGGGAGTGTGCAAGTTTGGCAACAAGATTTTCCGGGTAAGCCACGCACCATGCCTGTAGGAACTGAGCTGTCTACTTGCACCTCTGGACGACGCGGAGATTGGGTTATCACAATTCGTGTACACACGTGTGTCCGTGCGCGTGTGTGTGTGTGTGTGTGTGTGGAGTGCACGTCGTGTATGCAGCCTTTACATACTGATGTAGGTGTCAGGGCAGATGAGGGCAGAAAAGTGGCTCTCTAAGAATGTTTTCCTTTGGCTTCATTTTTAATGAAAGAGTTCAAAGCTTTGAAGCATGATCGCTATTTCCATAGATGATAAGCCGAGATTGGGGTCGAGGTGAAGGTTCCCATGGATGCTGTGCTTGAGGCGGGGAATTCCAACAGCCCTTAATTCAACGGGAGATCCTTAGTGTGGGGGCGTGCACCTGCCGTCCTGTGCTGATGGCGTGCACGTGCCGTCCTGTGCCGATGGCGTGCACCTGCCGTCCTGTGCCGATGGCATGCATGTGTCATAGTGT